TCGATAATCCGTGACAGAAACACTCTTTCACGTACTTGATATGGCTTCTCAAACTGTTAATAATTCTCGGAGAATTTCAAAGTTGCCCAAATTTTATGCTGATTTAAGAACACGTTTTCAAACCTTCGATGGAGTTACTACAACCCGAGTCCGAGTTGGAGTTCAAGTTCGATTTCGAGTTTGAGTCTATTTCCGACTGAGTTCGAGTTAGGTACCAGTTTTATTAATCAAACAAGTTTGGGGCGGAAATACTATTGATAAAAGAAATTGAAGAAAAGTATTATAAGATTTCATTGATTTGTATTATAAGATTTCATTGATTTCACAAACTGGCTTATGGAGCCGGGTTGTGTGTCAGGCCGAGTCTAGACGTGACATAGGCTTCTGTGAAAGTATTAATGAATATATTATGATGCTTTGAGAAGTTTTTGTTCTGACATCTATTCTGAAAATGAGTTGTATCGAACAGCAAACATATGAAAGACATATTGGATATTCGCTTTGCCAATTTTAAAAACATAGATTCATCGGGTATTTAAAACCCGACTACACTATGTTTGACACAGGTATTCGGACTCAAGCAAAAAGGGAGGTGGTGGTGGTGGGGTACGTATGTGAAAAAAAAAAACAACAACAACAAAAAAAAAAAAAACACAAAAAACTAGAAATAAATTGAATTGGTCCCTGTGCATTTAAAATGGCGCCACAACAACACGAGTTGAACTGAGTCTTGAACTTGTAAACGTATTTCAATATAGTTTATAAATTTGTGGCCTTTTGGTACATGGAAAAATTAAGGCCTATTTACACGGCACGATTTGCAGTAAATAATCATGTCTACCTTGTTATTTGATGAGATCATTCAGAATTTTTGCACTTCGTGTTTAATTACCGGTAAAGACGTTTTCATGGAAATCCGCCATTTTGTTTTGGAAAAACTTTTCCGAGTGAAATAAACTCACTAAGTTCTGAGCCAATTTGCTCAGTTCGATTTGATCCCATAGTCAGATCTTTTGCTTTTTCCTCTAAAGTTAGGTATTACAAAGTATTTTCAAAAAATGCAATAAAAAAGACAGACGTTAATTTTTATGAGGTTTTGCTTGTCAAACATTGGAATGACGTCATAACTACAAGGCAACCCAGTATACGCTCATAGAGCGTCTTGTTTTATGTCATAAAAGTCGTAAAAGAGAAGAATCAACTGACACTACTGAAAATCATGTTGTGAAAAAGAAAAAGAAAAAAAAAACCAGGAACGTAAAGTCTGAAAACCTATCTTGTATATCTTCGAAGATCTTAAATCGATTCATCCTAAGAGCTAAAGCGAGCTATCAAGTGTTTGAACTGTATTTTTTTGGATTGTGCTGTTTTTAAATGAGATTGAGTTTAATCGACTGTACTAGTTTACCTCACTAATGTGATTGGAGTCACATTTGTCCATCCATTGCGTCCATCAGGTTGTTAAGCAGTGTCTTAAATCAATTATACGTGTGACCCATGGGTCCTCGATATATGCCCGGCAATCCAAGGACTTGAAAAACGTTCTTTTGTACTTTCAGCTTGATTAGATTGCTTTACAATGGGGAACTTTTTAAAGGCAAAATTCTGTGGACGTGGACCCAGCTCTCAGAATACAGATCGTACAGGTAATTCCTACACGCTACCTTAAGTCTCTAGAAAAGAATTAGACCATCAGTGTATAACTGGCTTTATTTTATTTTCGAAATGATTTATTTAACTTCTATGCCGTGTCGTGCCGTGCCGTGCCGTGCCGTGCCGTGCCGTGCCGTGCCGTGCCGTGCTATTTAAGAGGGTCTGTTGTCCCATAACTATTATTGTGTTCACGCATAGTGCCTCTCAAATTTGAAGCAACTATGAGCCATGTCTGCCATGTTATTTTGGATAAAGAAAGATACCTGATGAAAATTTTATGCTATGTAATCATGGCGGATGTAACGCCTGAAGATGGGTGGAAAACGTAGCCATTAGAAGTTGCTGTATTCTATTAGTGACCAAACATAGTAAAGGAGTCATGTGTAAAAAAAAAAGCAAAGAAAAGAAAGAGAAAGAACGGAGGGGAAAAATTGAAACAGCCAGTGACTAAAGGAACAGGTGATAATGAATAAGGCAGTATACAGTATATAATGAAGTAGCACTCGACTACGGTACAATTTAGTGCTTTATTCTTGAACAACTCAACACTCGTAAAACAACATGGCTGCTCTGGGAGTCCCGCGCTCTGAATCACGTGACTCGCACCCAGGTTACTACACAGTCATTTTCGGGATTGTCCGCAACTCTCGCCATACTCATGCATACATTAATTCTTGAGCTATTGGTTCCTAGAATTACTGTGCGATACACACTGAAAATTATTATTTTTTCCTTATGTTTTCTCTCCCGGTAATGTCAGACTCGATCGCTGGTGGCGTTCAAGAAAGTACCTTCGGAACTGCGAGCCAAAATGAAATTGACGCAACAGGTAACCAGGGAGACCAAGGAAATAACGATGATTCCCATTTTGGGAATAACGGGATATGCATGGGGAGGAGGTGGCATGTATGATAAATCCTAATTAAGACAATGATGCTTTATACAGGATGTTTTACTGCCCAAGAATATTTTACGAGATGAATTTTACGGGTTTGAAAAATACCTCTGCTAGCAGGGTAGTGTCTATTCCTTTTTGCTACTGCCTTGCATTTTTCCTTATTTTTTCTTACAGTGATTGGTCGAAAACTGTGCTTTATCATTGAACGGAGCAACGCTAGAACTTGCGACCGATTTTCTTTTTGCGTAAATAAATTCAATATCCAAAATGAATTAGTAGCTCGTGTTTTATTTGTTACATATTTTAAGGGCCACACCGTCGTAATAGGGAAAACCTGTGACGATATCCCTAGCCTCTCGTCATCAACTTTCATCCCACACYAAAGAAATTACAGCCTATCAAAATGCAGGAAAGCCATCGTATATTTGTCGGTATTCCTCTCTTCCTTCCCATCATGCATTTGTATTTACTTTGGAGTTAAATAAAATAGTTATAGAATGTTTTCTCGTTGTACACCATGGAATATCTCACTTGCCTAGAGGCTCGTGTAAACGCATAGAAAACACAAGTGATATGTGGGATATTCCATGGTATACCACTCAAAAGCATTGTATAACTAGGTGATATATTTATCTATTTATAGAGGATAGCTAAGATATGAAGTTCATCTTCGAGTGGTGGAAATATCTTTCAACACGACAAGATAAACTTCATACATTCAAGCCAACGATCGATATCTTCACGTGTGAGGATATGGAAAATATGTCATTGAGGTCCCGGATTTAGATTCATGTGTGAAAAATACGAGTGGCGTATTTTCCAGAAACCACCACTACTGTCTATATAATAAAATTTACTTTTCTGCTTTTAGACG